GTGTGCCAAAGTAAGCAATAAATGACGAAAAATTAAGTCCACAACTCGGTCTGTGTCACCACCCCTAAGCAATGGACACGTAGAAAACGTCCAGGAGGAAGGCGGATGGGTGGGCAGCATTCTTTACTTTGTAGGGTCTGCCTGCCTTGAGGATGTTTTCCTCTGCTTTGAGGCCTCCCGTAGCCCCAGCTTGCCCTGCCTCCTCCTAGTCCTCAGGAGTCCGAAGGCTGAGAGGCCCACAAGCCTGGTGGAAGATCCTGTCCTACAACTCTTTCTGAATCCTTGGATAGGTCACTGTGCAACTGCTTTGATTTTCTAGGGAAGTCAACAGTAACTAGAGGGCAATGGGCTGGCAACTAGTAGTTTAGTATTTCAAGTGGGTAGCATGCCTTATGCTTGCTCTGATTGTCTAACTTAACACTGAAGATGGACATTCTCATACATTGCCAGCTAGATCGTAAGTTTGTGAACTTTTAATGCATAAGCAGTTCAATAGAATATTTTGAGCTGAAAAGTGGACTGGAGAGTTGAACACTTACTGGGGAATAAGCCTGCGCCATCCGGCAAGCCTTTGATACAGGATAACGCGTTTTTCTGGACTTTCTCTATCCATGCCTCTTACCATTTATTTGTGTATTATGAGATTGGTTTTGTAGTGTATGACAGTGCCTTCCAATAAACTGCAACACGTTGGAGTCTGTGGCTGATCCTGCACCCATCACCCAGTCGAGTGCTGAGAAAATGTGGAGCAAATACCAGATGCAGAATTGCTAGGAATTGGTAGAGTATTACGGTGAATGGTGTGGGGATTTTACACAATGGAGAAAATTGCAACATCATCTCCCCCAACTAACACCTATAAAGCTCAATCTCTGTTTTATGCCAAATGGTTACCATTTATAGAAGCAACATTTCATGATAACGTTGTTCCCGAAAAAGTATATTGAAATTATTTCTGCACTGTGATATCACCAAAATTATACAAGTAATATTATGCCTTCGTAATTTTTATTATTATTTCTTTATTATTTTTTATTTTTTATATTGATGCTCACTTTTTTGTTTTCCGTTGTCAGTTACTATGTTATTATAGTCTTATAGCATATTTTCCGCAATGATATGTATAATTGATGTTTCAAAATTGTTGTAATTCTTAAACTTATAAATAAAATTTCAGCAGCACCTTTTCCTTCCTCCATTTCTGATTCCAAGGGAACAATAAGCAGAAAACTTGACACAGCTTCATTGATCTCTGTCAGCTCCCCTGCCCCTATTTCCCCCCCAATATTTATCACCGGAACAATAAGCAGAAAACTTGACACAGCTTCATTGATCTCTGTCAGCTCCCCTGCCCCTATTTCCCCCCCTATATTTATCACCTTGGCATGAATTACTTGGCTCAGGCAACTAATGACCCCTGAGGCAAGTACTGACACAGGAAACTCTGCATACCAATGTGGGAGTGAATGCTGAAAGCAAAATAGATGGCAAACTGACACTAGCCAATGCAGAAACCAGGATCTGAGGCCATGCAATGAAAACAGATATTCCGAGGCAAGGGGGAACCCAGTCGAGTGCTGAGAAAATGTGGAGCAAGTACCAGATGCAGAATGGACCAGTGTTCTCCTACAGAGAGTCATGTACCCACCAGAGTGGCAGGAACCTGTAGCAGTAGCGGCCTCTTCCTTAAAGGGGCCTGATTAAAAATCATTAACGTCCCAGTGTCATCGTGGTATGGTGTGTGGAGCTGAGCAGATTTGCCAGAAGAAAGACATCCCTTCCAGGCCTGTCTCCATCCTCTCACACACCTTCCTTTCCTCCTGCCCCCTTCAGACCTAGACCAGGCAAGGATCTTAACTGATTGTTCCCATTTTATTTATTTATTAGAACATTTTTTTTGCCATCTTTCCAACCTGCCCCCCCTATCTGTGTGAACTGCCTGCAATGTGTGGATACAGATAAAGGGGTGAAAGGCATTACCAAAGTGTTAGCAGTCAACTCCCTTTAAGCAATGATCCATGTAAAATTTGCACCAGGTAGATAAGCGCAGAATGTTGGATTTTTGGAATTAAAGGAAAGTTGTATCATAGCCCTATCAGTAGGGGCAGGACTTGATACAGCCATGATGTTTTCTGGAGCAGTGGCATGAGCATTGGAAGCGGGAGCTAGGGATGTGCGTTCGATTTGTCCGAACCGAATGCCCCCCCGAAAATGGCCCATTCGGACCCCTTTCGGACTGCTGCGGGCCGATTCAGATTCTCTGATCTGAATCAGCTTGCCGCCGAATTGCCGCCAAATTTCAGCAGCAATTCGGCCCCATTATATCCTATGGGCCATTGAAGTCAATGGTGAAAACACAGGGTATATTCTGGGGGCTGGAGGGGAGGGGGCTTGAGGGAGAGGCTCCAAACGCACAGGGTAGCTGCTGGAGCATCTCCCCAAGATACCAACCAAGTTCAAGAGCATTGGACCAGGGGGTCCAATTCTATGGGCCCCCAAACAGCTTGCCCCTATCCCCTCCATTGACCTCTATGGTGGGGGAAATGTAACTTTTTCCAAATCCTTTGATCATCAGATTTTATGGTACCCTCTACACTCCATGCTGCTTTTGCTTTCTTTGATCATAGGATTTTATGGTATCTTCTGCATAGATTTATGGCCATTTTATGGCCATTCAGGTGTGACTTTGCAATCAGTACGGTGTGGCCCTGAGGTATTTGAATGTGGTTTTGAGCTGCACTTTTCCCTCCCCGTTGAGAAAATGTGAAGCGAATGCTAGATGCATAATTCACAAGTAAATTTTGGCAGGCAGATATTGATGACTGGCTAGCCATGCATGACTGTCTATGGCTCCAAAAGGGCCATGACGGGATACTCCAGTGGGAGTGTGGAGACTGCCATTAAGCCAAGCTGCTGCTTGAGCTTCTATCAAGTGGATTTCAGTCTCACAAAAAGCAAGAGAGTTAGTGGCGGGATAATAAGTTATGCCCTCTATCTCTTGCTGTGCATTAAGAGCACCTAAAATATAATCGCTATATTGAACTTCTGGTAGATGTTCCCCTGTAAGATTGGCATGTTTTCTGATCAACGCCCCAGCACAATACTTAGCGGATCTGACTTCCCCACAGCTGCGTAGAGCATTTATGCTGGCCCGATTTAATGTGCTTCCCTCTGCGGTTTTAGCAGGAAGATTTAAGAAAATCCCCTACTCTGTAAGGTTCTGTGATTGTGATTCAGAGGAGATTGAAACAATCGAACATGTATTCCTCTATTGTAGTTTGTATGATGACATTCGGACAGCCTATCTAGAAGATATTCTTAAGAATGATGCCAAGCAATCCGATGACCGAAGGTTGTATCATTTATTGGCTTCATAAAATATAGCAGTTATTGAAGCGGTTGCTAAGTTCTGTAACTGCCTTATAATGAGAAAGCTGTGTGTCAAATCCATAAACTGAATGGCGATTGTGTATGATTATGATCTATGCCAATAAAGGTTTTGAACTTTAAACTCCTGGAGCAACCAAAAATGTGACATCCTGCCCAGGTGCCCCCCTGTGTTCGATTATATGGGCAAGATATGCTGCTCTGGCCACCGTGAGAATAGCCGTTTGCTGGGCCATGAGATAAAGGCCAAACGAACTGCGAACTTTAAATGCTCTACTTTTATTCGTAGAAAAGCTTTTCTAAACCCTGGCATGCAGGCACAAGAAGAGTGTTTTAAGTGGGTTTCTTCTCCGTTTCCTGGTAAGATCAAAGGAAAATCAAGATGGTGGGTGCCGATTGTAACAAAAAGTTTCGCTCCCACATCCTATTAGAAAATCTGGACTAAACTATTTTAAATGGGCTTTGCCTATGAAACTATTCAGTGCCAGAGTTCTCTAGGAGTCATCTATTAAGGCTGTTTAGCACCCTTTAAATCTGATAACACAAACAAGTAAGTTGTGAGTTAGTTTCTTTGAATTATAAACAGCAAACCAGACCAAAAACCTGCAGAGACTTTTATCTTTTATTGGGGGGGGGGGTGTTCTCTTTATTATGCAAGACAGAGATACAGATATGTAAAAATCAACCATACAATTATTGTGAAAACGTGTTAAAATCATCAACGTTCTTAACTTTGCTGAATTATATGATAGTAATATTTTTAAAAACAAACCAGGTTTCAGGTGTTTGTCTCACTGCTTTTAGGGATTATCCAAAAGCTCAAGTCACAGGCACTCAGAAATCTCAACTCACCTTCTTTCGTACTTCCATCCAGAGAAGTCTGATTTGCTTATCACAGCACTGCATATTTATAGAAAACTATCAATCTTACCTTTTTAAAAAACTGTTCTCTCATAATCATGTGATTACTATCTAGATGAGTGATTGGTGCTTAACTCAAATGAGACAATCAACACAAGTGCCAATGAGCCAATCGGCAAGTACATATGAATACATCTCACATAGCAAGAGAAGAAGGCCAATCTCAACTTTTAACCTCTGTTGAAAAGCAATTAGTCTTTCTGTGACCATTTCAATTAACTGTCAAAGATTAAAGTTATTTTAAGCAAACAGAGTTCACTGACAGTTGAAGAGTGCTTGACGTCTTGTTTAACATGCAGAATCAGCACGGAAAAGCCACCTCTACACTACTTCCTTTAGAAGTACAAGATTACTCACTGACTCAGATCATATCTGGCAGCCCTGCTCAAGCATATACCTTCCCTATAGGGACGTAAAGAATATTATTTGCTCTTTGGACAGGCAGGGATAGGGAAAGGAGGCTTCAAATCTGGAACCATCTAGATCGATTTTTTTCTTATTTCATATTGGAAAGTTCAATTATCTTGGGTATCAGTTAAAAGAAAAATAAGCTTCTGATCTGAAATTAAAATCCAGTTTCCTTGTTTGCTCATTCCTGAGTTCTGGTACTGTGAACAATTCCACGCATTTTGCACCTGGGACTCTCTTTCCAAACTGGTGTCTTGTGTCTTTGTGCCAAGACATCATGATGCTCAAGGCTCAGTAGCTTTTGTCCAAACGTTCTCCGCATCTTCCACAATGTCCTTCAGGAAGCACCTCAGCATGTAGAAAGTGGTGACGAAGGAAATAGCTCCTCCAGTCAGAGAGCCCAATATTGGTATGAAACCCAAGGCCAGTTCTACTAACGCCAGGCTTACACAAAGCAATGACTGGGCCAAGTGGTCAGCTACAAATTGGGGTGTAATCTCGCTGGACATTGGAGTCCTTTTCATAGCAGATTTCAGCACTTGGTAATTTTTGCCAAACACTTTTGCAGCTCTGTGGAGAGACTTTTCATCCAAGCCAAAGACTTCATAGAAATGGATGAGCGCTGCTACCAAGATGCCAAGATCACAAACCAAAGAAAGTCCTGGGACAGGAATCGCTCCAATAACACAGGATACAAAAGCAAGTTTCCATATAAGGGCCTCCATAGCAGCCTTTTTCTTTTTGAGGATTCCTCTTGAGAAAAGTGGCATAGCCAGAATTAAGGCATGTCTCTTGAGATCATCCAGGTCATTCTCCAAGGTTTCTTGCAGATCTGGGAAATCATACATATTCAGATCTCGCACGGAGATGAGGAAAACGCTTGGATTGGATTCTCCTGCCTCTGTCAGTTCATGACAACAATTTTTTCGTATCTTCTCAAGGGATTTCTCCATTTCGAAGTTTGGGTCCCTACTTTCAGCAGCCATACTGACATCCATTTTGGAGCGCACAAAGTAAAATTTCTTCTTCATTTTCTTAATTTCCTGGGCCAGGAGGACATCATTCTCAGTGAAACGTTCTGAGCCGACAATCATGAAGAAGTCATACCGGCTAAAACAGACCTTCTTTAGGTAATCCTTTTGTCTAAATTCAGGTGTGCCAATTCCTGGTAGATCCCATATGGTGACATTTGGAAATAAGGGATGTGGATAGGCGTGACACTCCATAGTTGTTTGCATTATTCCAACTTTAGCTGTGCCTTCTTCATAATCGGTCATGCCCCTCAGTGCATTGACAAGGGATGATTTGCCAGCACCCGACACTCCTGTGATGGCAATGTCAAGCTTGGCATTTTGAAATGCATCCAATTCTTGACGAATTTCCTCAGCCACCTCCTCAAGATTTCCATGCATCAGAGCTTCACTCAGCTTTTCAATGTCAATTTGAAAGATTTTTTTAAAGAACATGGAAAGGAATCTACTTCCTTTGGATGGTTTGGTTGATCTAAGAAACAAAAAGAAATATGCAATTTATTTAAGAACTTTTAGGAAGTTCCTGCCTTCACCTGTCTATTAGGCAAGTACTCGAGGCTGCTTACAGATAAAAGTTTTAAAAACTTGAAAGATAATGCCAACCTTAAAAACCTAAGAATAGGAAACCGCAAGAAGTAGGAGCAGCGCAGCAGGACAGATGTCAACAGTAAGGAAGAGCAATAAATCTAGTAATTAACAACAGCCATCAGCAGTTGTCAGAAAAGCCATCAGAACAGGGATTTTATCAGGCGAAAAATCCAATGTAACCACCCGATACCCTTCAAAATAAATTAAGTTTTATAGATTTATGGTAGATCTACAGAGATCCTGCAATTGTTTACGTGTACTGCATAATACTGAAATGCACCAAAAGATAAAGTTGAACATTTATTGATCAGTTTTCTACATCGAAAAGAGATGTGATTCTGTGACTGGAACACTAGTCCTACATCCTTTCTGACCCTAAAATGTACCTCTGGGGGACTGGAGCCACACCCTGGGAAGAAAAATCATCACTGTTCTCCACTCTTGGTCATTTCACCAATCAGATATCACATCTCTTAAGAGCTTTAAACCCTGGTGAGGAAAAAGAAAGGTAGACAGTACCAGGGCTATTTTTGGGCAGGAACGCACAGGAACAGAGTTCCGGCTGGCTCCTGAGTTGGCCACGCCCAGCAGGTACTCATTAGCATAATAGGCCACACCCAACAGCAGGAACTCATTAGGATTGGCTACATTAGGGGTGTGTGGCCTAACATGCAAAGGAGTTCCTGCTACAAAAAGCCCTGTTTTGACAACAAACAAGGTAAACAGAATAAGAAGCAAACGATGGGTGTCGCTGGATGACCACACTTCTGGTAACGAGGGGTGTGTGGCCTAATATCCTAATGAGCTGTGATGTCAGGGTGTGGCCTAATATGCTAATTGGTTTTGCTGTTGGGTGTGGCCTATTATACTAATGAGTTCCTGCTGGCTTTTTCTACAAAAAAGTCCTGGACAGTACATTTATTTTGTCATATCAGAGTGGGACTTAAATTCATTCAGTGTATTTATATATACAAAATATATGCATTTGATTGTCACAATATACCTATGCCTATGTTTAAAGCTATTGTGCAGCTTTTAAAATTGGGATAAAGGTACAAAAAAAAGTTAATTCTAATCCACGTAGTTGCCCCCTCCACCACCCCTTAACCAGGTCAGCATTTTTAGACATACTTTTTGTTCATACGCAAAGAAAATCAAATAAAAAGTTTCAAAAGTTTATTATTGTCATAAAACGAGGAACCACTGACTGGACTTTCAACTGAACTGAAAATTCTTTCTGAGCCTAATTTGGTGATTGGCAGTTTTTCTTTCCTTTTCTTTTCCTGTCTCTGTATATTTGGAGACAGAGGGCTTGTTTCTCTCCAATTAATGGGAGCAACTAAAAGAATATGTGATGCAGAAGATTTATCTCTCCCCCCCCATGTAAACAGACCAAAATGGACGAGTTCCTCATGCCGAATTCATCACCCCTCACCTCTGCTTTTCCAACTTCTAATCGTTTTACTCCCCTCATAAATCTTGAAGAGGAGGCTAATTGTGAAGTTGAGAGGGGAGTTAAACCATGTGGACAGCAAACATCAGCTAAAGAACTTGATCTTATTAACAACAGAAGCCCTGATACTATGCTACTCCACTCCTTACAATTCACAGCAGGAACTGTGGGAAATCAAATCAAGAATTGATTAAACCCAACATACTTGTCAGCTGGTCTTAAGGTAAGTCTCTTCAGAGTCTCGATTTCATTCTCTAAGGTCCTTTGCAGGAGGGGGAAGTCGTAGTTTTCCCGATACCAACTGGAGACGAGGAAAATCTGTGGAGAAGAAATACCAGCCTCCACCAAATAATCAAAACAATATTTCCTGACTTGTTGAAGGGTTGTTTCCTCATTGAAGTCAGGATTGAGTTTTTCATTCTTAATGCTGATGTCCATTTTGGACCACACGTAGCAGAACCGCTTCTTCATTTTCTGAATTGCCTGGGACAGCTGGATGTCATAGTCAGTGAAACGATTCGAAGCTGCGATTATGAAGAAATCATATTGGCTGTAATTTACCCTGTCAAGGTATTCCTTGGCTTTAAAATTAGGCGTCCCAATTCCTGGTAGGTCCCATATTGTGACATCTGGAAAGGTGGGATGTGGGTAACCCATTGACTTGGTTGTTCCTTCTATCACATCAGTTTTGGCTGCCTCCTCATCAAAATCTGATAGACCCCGCAGAGCATTGACAAGGGACGATTTGCCAGCACCTGATATCCCTGTGATGGCAATGTCAAGTGTGGTTTTTTCAGATGCAGTTAGACCTGAAAGGTTTCCTTCTTCCTTGGCAGACTTCTGTTCACGTTCACTGCTCACCACAGGGGCTGAACTTTTCCCACCCATGGCTCTTCTTGAAGACTCAGTTGGCCTGAAAAATAAATACGTCACAATGCCCCAATCCTGCAGCAGTTACATTTTCTTCCCCACAGTTCTCACTACGCTTGGTAAGGTGGGACAAAGAAATCCAAAAATCTCCCAACACTAGTATCACTCAAAACTGACCTTTCCTGGGAAGGGGTATCACCTCAGATATGGAGTAGATAGGGTTGCCAACCTCCAGGTGGAGCATGAAGATCTCCTGGAATCACAGCTGGGCTACACAGTAGACAAATCAGTCCCCCTTGAGAAAATGGCTTCTTTGGAGGGCAGACTGTATAGAATTATACCCACTGAAGTTCCTCCCTCACCAAGCCCTGCCTTCTCAGGCTCCAACTTAGGGTTGCCAGATCCCCCCTGGCCACCAGCAGGTAATGAGGGGTAGGACTGCCAGATCCAGGTGGGGAAACTCTTGGCATTTGGGGGATGGGGCCTGGGGAGGACTGGGATCTCATTGGGGCACAATGCCAAAGAGTCCACCCTCTGGGGCTCTAGGTTTAAGAAGGGGGGGGGATGTTACGTGCAGGATTGTAAAGCGGCCATTTAAATTTAAACCCAAACAAATAAACAAAAATCTGTTGGAAAAGAGCAATACTATAGCAAGAGGATAGCTGTAATAGTAAAAGGGAAAGCTTAATACTTGCAGATATTATGCTTGCCTGGTTATCGTTGCAGGGGTATTCTCGGGAGTAGGAGACTGACGACGCTGATTGGGAGAGAGAGAGAGGCGCACGGCTGGACGAGCGAGGAGGTGGAGGCGAGGAGGTCCGAGCGGAGGTTGGGCAGAGATCTCCAGACATTTCTAGAAGTGGATGTCAGAGGCTGGCAGCATGATACACAGTGGATCCTTCATCAAGTTCCCCTTCTCCGGTGAAATCACTACCCCCACTTTGTCACCCCTTCACACATTCTGGACTGGAACCTATTCTTCCACCATTCAGGGAGCCTTTAAATAAGTCGGGGGGGCGCTCTGGAATCTTCTTCCCCACGTGTTCCCCTGGTGACCCCCATCTGTGCCTCCTGATACCATTTCAGTAGTACTCCCCTCAGTCCGAGCCTGCTGCTTCCCTTACAGGTGTGCAAAAATGGGCAAGTCTCACTTTGGTGTTTTGTTTTGTTTTTACAGCCTGACATGGATTCCAAAAGAAGGAAGTTTTAAAGCAGTCCGTGAGGCATTTTCCATTAGTGAAGAAAAACTGGGCAGTACCCAGCAGTCAGCAAACAGAACAAAAACAAGCAAACAGATGATAGATTAATTATTTGCTATGCAAAGTTCCTGCATGTTTCACTGTGCAGGCTTTGTCAGGGGGAATTAGAAAACCCACCTCATGCAGGAACTGTCCGCCAGCATCTGATTCCCCCATGATGAAGCCCGCATGGCAAAATGTGTAGGGGCTTTGCAGGGGCCATTTCGTAGAAAAAGAGCTGCAGGAGCTCATTAGCACAGCTCATTAGCATAACTTATTTGCATATGCCACACCCCCTGACATCACCAGATGTGTGTCAGAAGGCAACACCCACCACTCAGGCTCCACTGGACTGTTTTGGATTGCTAGCTATTGGGGGGGGGGCATGTGCAGATCTGTCCTCACAGAGGAGGGAGAGCTTGTACCTGAATAAAACTTGGTCTTAAAGGTGCCACTGGACTGTTTTGGACCGGGGGGCCGGGGGGCTCTGCAGCTTACCTGGCTGCTTCTTGCTCTGACTGAGGGCTGCTGGGAACAGGGAGTGGGGCTTGTTGCATGTGCCCGCCCCCTCGGCTCTTTACTGCCGGAGCTCTGCTCCTGTGCACTCCTGCAGGAAATGACCCCTGGGGCTTTGTATTATAAATCATTCATCTATCACTTGGCATTTTTCCCCTTTGGTTCTGTTGGCATTTTCCATTAGGGCCAGCGATTTCCCAAAGCTACTGGATTTGGAGCAAACAGCAGGGTCTCTTGAGGGTTACAACTGGAAGTGTTTTAATTGTGCTGACCCAAAAGCCATCTCTTCCCGCTCGTTTTTTAAAAGGGCTTCAGATTGCTTTGTGGAAATAAAAAGCTGAAATGCCCCGTGAACCACATTTCCTTTTCAATCTACCAAACAATGTGCAAGCCACAATCAGAAAAGCTTCTCTTACCTTCTGGAAACTCTCTACCCTGACTGACGAATAGCTCCTCTGCAAAGATTTGCACAACTCTTTAGACGTCCCTTTTGTAATCTCTGGAACCTTTCAGTTTCGAGGCTGACGTGATCAGTGGTCATAAAACTTTCTGTATTGTGTGGTGCAGATGAAAGTACACAAAAAGCAGAGATAATACAGAACCCTGTGCTTTTCTGGGAATACAAAACCATGTGGGGGGGTTTTCTTTCCTCACCCTGTTTGCCAAAGGGTGGCAGAGTAGACCCAACAGTGTTCAGTGTCCAAGGTATTCTTAAATTTGACCGCTCCTTGGCTCCAAGTTGCTCAGGGGCTGCTACCTCATTCTCCCTCCTCTTCCCCCCCCCCTTACATTATTCTGAGGCCTGCTCTTCTCCCTTCATCCAGTCAGTTTATGGCTGAGTGGGGGCCAGAAGCCGGTCTCCCTTATTACAGCTTCCGTCACCATTACATCACGCTCCCAGCTCTCTTTAGAATCTTTAACGGGGGCATTTCTAGCTAGGTCTATGTGCAAAAGACTTTCACAAATTGGGGGTTTTAGCCACAGGGTTTATATACACACAATGCTGGGTTTCTCCCCCCCCCCCTCAGATTACTGACAGAGCAAGTTATTTTTTCGGATACCACACCAGACCACCTCTTTCTCAGCAACTGGTATGTAAGGGCAGGGCCGGCTCCAGGTTTTTCTGCACACTAGGCGAGGCTGCCTTCTGGTGCCCCCCCCTTGGTGTGCCCACCAATTTGCGCCCACCAATGTGTTTTTGTGCTCTGAATTTTAGGGGTTCGAAAGCCCACAATCCCAGTGTCTTTGCTCCTGATCTGGTCAATTAGCACAGTAATATAATCAATAAACATAAAAAGGTGGGGGGTGGCCCGCAATTTACTACCCTGTTTAGGCGAGGGAGGGGAGGGGTGGCAGGCCAGGAGGTGCCCCCTCTTAAGGGGCCGCTCTAGGCCGCTGCCTAAAAATTGTCTATGACGGGCCGGCCCTGTGTAAGGGTGACCTCAACATAACCCTCTGGACTATCAGCCCAGGCCATAATTTCGTTCACCATGATGAAATTCTTTTGGTGGGTGTATTGTTTTTGTATTTTTCTTATGTGAGTGTGTGTGTGCACCTGGAAGTCATGGTGGCCTCTGGTGACTGACCCCCTACTGGGGGCCTGGGGGATATTCAGAGAGGTGGCTGAATAAAGCCTGCCCCCTCCTCCCACCTCTGGTATTCCAAGGAGGTCTCCCATCCAAGTACTTGCCGGAGTTGACCCTGCTTAGCTTCTGAGATCTGATGAGATTGGGCTTGCCTGGGCTACCCAGGGCAGGGCAGTCTTCACTCAGTCTTGTGGCATTTCAGGTGCTGCTACTCTTCTGTTTGTTGTTCATATAACAGAGAAGTTGATATGTCTCTGCTGCCTCCTGGCATAATAACTACACGTGCACCGTAAGACTCCATCTACACCTTACAAAGTCCTTAGGCTTGCTGGGGAACAAGTGAAATCTGGAGTTATCCCAGAATCACAGCCGATCTCCTGGTCGCAGACGTCAATTCCCCTGGAGGAAAGGGCAGTCTCTATGGCATCACACCCCCAATGGGCTCCCTCTCCCCAGGCATTGCCTCCAAATCTCCAGGACTTTCCTAAGCCAGAGGTGGCAACTTAGATGGGGCTTTTACGCTCCCAGATGCACACCAGCTCCTCTCTCTTTGTGACCACCGCACACAAGGAGAAGTGGCCTTCGCCTCCCTGTTGCTTTCACATCCTCAAACTAATCCACGGCCACAGAGTCTCCGTTGACTCCACTGTACTGTGTTCAGAGGCTCTTTGGCCCAGGGCACGGCTTCCTGAAGGGATTTGGCCAAGGGATCCCTTGAACAGCTGGAGGATCGGCCATGATCAGTGGCTGGATCAAGGGTCTTTCCTTCCCTGCTCCCCCAGGAACTGCCCATTATTTAGGGTTGCAAACCTTCTCCTGCTGTTACAATTGCTCTCCAGATGGCCACGGTTAGTTCCCCTGGAGAATATGGCTGCTTTGGAGGGTGGACTCTATGGAATTATACTCTGCCGGGGTCCTTCCTCTCCCTAAACCCCACCTTCCCCAGGCTCCACCCCCAAAATCTCCAGGTATTTCCCAACTCAGACCTGGCAACCCTGCTATTCTAATATGCTGTGAAACCTGATAGGAGTCTGAAGTCTCACTCAGACTGAAAGGGAAGGTGCATTTGTTTTCCGGAAAGTTATTCCAGTGATTTGCTGACAGGACCGTGACAGGTGCCGCGTCAGATGTCATTTCCGAGAAGTAGGAAAAGTTCTCCTCCACTTGGAGCCACTGGATGACCTTGGGCAAGCCATCGCTCTCTCAGAGCTGTTCTGAAAGAGCAGTCCTCGAAAGGGCTCTCTCAGCCCCACCCACCTCACAGGGTGTCTGTCGTGGGGAGGGGAAGGGAAAGGAGATTGCAAGCCGCTCTGAGACTCTGAGGGAAGGGTGAGGTATAAATCCAATCTCCTCTTCTCTCTTCTTATCAGCCACTGCACCTTTTTTTTTTTTTTACATGCTTCCTTGGCTCAAGGGAGGTTTCCTGCATGTACTGTACATGTCCTCTGCCCCAGGGCTTCAGAAAGTATAAAAATGGAGAACAGTAAGGAAGCTATGTCAATCCCGCCCACAACACACAACACACCCTCATCCATGGCAGCCAGCCAAGAGCATTTTAAAAAGCCACATATTGGAACAGGGAAGTATTTCAAAACCTTAACATGCCGACTTAGGAGGTGAGAAGTCCTTATAGCAGGCCTGCCGGAATAACATAGATACAAGAAAGGAACATATTTGA